AGATAGATTCTGGTTATCAGCCCTTTATCAGATGTGTAGAGAGCAAATATTTTTTCCCATTCTGTGGGCTGTAAATGTAGACTATAAATTTTAATCAAAGAGCTAATATTATCATAATGCTAAAAGGAATGCTGGGTTGTTTACCAACCCCATCCAGCTGTGGGTTTATTAACACAACAATGATTCTATAATCCTATTAAATTTAAGAATAGGTAATAAGGTTCTAAAGGTTTCTGGATCAAAAACAAAGTAGGGTCTTTGGAACTAAATTTGCCATTAGTCTTAAATAATCTAATTTGTTTTTGAGACTTCATATAATATAAAAATACATTGTATAATTGAGGCCATGTTTGATATTCACAGGGGAGATGTTGTACCAGATAACCTAGGTATTTTATGTATAGAAAAGATATTTACATCTGTAAGTCTAAAATAAAAATGTGGCCTAAAATAGTAAGACATTAAAATCACAAGATATGTAACACAAATTAATAATCCTTTGATGAAAACTTCATATCATAGTCAAGGATATAAATGTGATTATTAGAAATAAAATCCATGTTTTTTAAAATTTATGTTGCTTAGGCCATGTTACTAATATGATTTATTTAAACCATCCAGGTTACATTGACTATATTCAAAAGCTCATTGATTTAAGATTCTGAGGTAGTTTGGGACATTAAAAAGGCCATATACATGTAATATAAAATCTTCTTTAAATTGATAATAAGATAAGAATTCAAGAATGATTTTTTTAAATGCTGGTATCTGATTATGTCCTAAGACAATGTAGATATCTTAATTTTGATACCTGGGGAAGAAGAAATCTAAATTTTCTAAGATAATATAGAAAAAGAAACCTACTACATTAATATTTTTATTTCCTATTATTAAATAGGTATTTTTAAGAACTATATCAATTTTCAATTTTATTGTATCTAGAATGCTTTGCCTTATCGTCCTAAATTTTTGTGTATAAGTGTATTTCCAAAGGAAATGTTGCTTATCGAGGCCATTTTGCTTGTAAAGATTTTTCATGCAAGGGTTGAGTGTGAAAAATATTGTAGTGGAAAAAGACAGTGTGTATACATGCTCCTACTTTTCTTATACTCCATCTACAAACAGCACCTTCCTGTTCAGGTTGGTAGAATAGTACAAGGGTGTTACTCTGTACTGAGACATCCCCAAAAGATACATCAAAGTTTCTCTCCCATGGGAGATATAGTATCTGAGTAAAATTATCAATTAGAATAGAGTATCATAAAAAGGCACCCTAGAAAAAAAGAACATTTATTTATAAATGTAACAGAAAATCCTAACAACTCAGAAGCTCAGAAAAGAATGCTATGGCAAGTGAAGAGTTAGCTTCAGAAATTGAGCAAGGGAAAGGGTTTGTTTTCTGGACCATGGTTTATAACACCAGAAATACATTTTTCTCTAGTGGATAGACTGCATCTCACAAAACCTGGGAAGAACAGTATTAGCAGCCAACTTACTGATCCAATCAAGAAAGCTTTAAACAAAGACTTAAAGTGAAAGAGAAAAATGTGAATCAATAAAATGGATCTTATGGAGGACAATAGGTTTGAAATAAAAATAACACATGGTGAAAAAATGTCTAGAAATTACTTTGTGAAAATCATGGCTGAGAATAATGCTTAGGGTTAGGATATGCAGTATACTAAATAAAACTAAAATAACAAAAATATTAGACATATTAAGCTCTTGAAATGCACTCTTTTTTTAATCTTTATGCAACCCTGGCAGATTAATATAGGAATTGCCACAACTGTTTGTACAAGGAGTGCCCTGCACAAGAGTACCTGGCCTGGAGGACAAGTGGGGAAAATAGTCCACTTCATACTCCAAGTGCCTGATAGGCGTAATCTTCAACTTATAGGCTAAGAAGCCAGGCTTAGATATATTCAGAAACATACTCAAGGTTATGAAGCTATAAAATGATGAGGCTAGATTTACTAAAATTAGAAACCAGGCATGTCTGGAATTCATTATTTTAACAAAACATAGAAAAGGGAAAATTATATGCTCATACGTATACATATATAATTTATTCTAAAGAGGTAAAGTAGGAGAAAATTATCTAACTAATTTGTTCAAAAGGAGAAACACAAATGACTTGGAAATGTGCGTCACTGCATATAAGGGAATTATAAACCAGTTTTTTGATCAAGAAATGTAAAGACTGCAATTTAGAGGAGATGTTCATGTCAGGAAAGGAAAATAAAGAGAAATTATCACTGAAAAATGATATGGCCATCCTAGCAAAAGATATTACAGAAGATAGTTTGCTAATAATGAGTACAAGATACGGATAAGAAAAGAAGTTAATTAATTGGATCCCTCTTGGGAGGAATTCTAACTCTGCTAAAATCTGTCTTCTATTTTGAGGGTGAAGAGACTATAATGGTAATTATTTTTCTGTTAAATTTGACTTACAGAGAAGAATTCTGACTTGTATAAACAACAGAGACCTTGGGTAGAAGCAGCATTTAAGGCACATCAGAGTAAAGGTGAGGGATAATGAGCAGGGTTGGGTAAATTCCACATACTTAAAACAGGCAGTCCTTCAACTAGTAACGGGAAGTTATTCAGAGACCCTAAGAAAGTATAACTGAGAAAGAAAGTGAGAAACTAAAGACAAAATTATGACAGTATGATTGCAAATAAAACTATAACCAGAAAATAGGAAAGGACACCTAAAGAAAACAATTTTATTTTACAAATCGAAATTTAGTCATAGGTTTTTAGATTTTTGACAAGCATGTATAATAAAAAATGACCAAACAATGTGGCAAGGACTTGAAAAAAGAGTGTGAGGTGTGTAAAGTCAAAAATGCTTAAAGATACTCCAGATATGAAAGATTTAAAAAACTATTAGCTATATTAAGAAAAGGAAATTAAAAAGAAAGGGATAAGTCCATCAACTGAGAGACAAAGAACTGCTAATCCATTTTATTGTTGTTTTTAACTTCTCTATCAAAGAAAATTATCGAATTAGAACAAGTAGAACAATTCTGATGTGGATTTGGATTTACTCAGATTTACCTAGGGACGAATGTAAATAAGGGATTACGAGAGGAACATTCTGAATGGTCCACCAGGGTCTTCTGATATCAATGACCTGTGCACACTTAAGCACTTAGGCAAGAAACCAGTAATTATCATGCCGAGATGTTTTCACTAGGAAAAGCTCTTTTACTCTTTTGAAATTCTTAAACAGGTAGGCTAAGAGTATTCAATTTACAATGTGTCTTAATGTGAATAATGTATATTGCAAGGTCTTTTATTGCAATCTTGCAAGATAGAAAAACAGTGGTTTTACATAGAACAGCTGAATGGATTGTTGGAGGTTGAGCAATCTTTCTCTAAACAAATTTTGCCCTTTCTACTTCCTAACTTAAAATGTTATTCTGTTATTTAGTTAAGGAAGTGGAACACATACTTTGCAAATCTGTGGAAAATACAAAATTATAAGGGAGTGCTAATAGATTATGTAGTAATCAAATAAATCTACAAAATGTTTTATTATATTGAAACAGTCATCCACATAATATGCTAACAAGAAATGAAGACTGAATTTACATTTAGAAAAATATCATTTTATACCAACAAATGTAAGTGACTTTAACACTGATTCATTTGAAAAAGATAAAATTTTTCCACGTAACCCATAATTTTAGGAAAATATCATGCTTTATTTTCTCTTCTTGTTTTACTAAACTATCTTTATTCAGATATATTAAATTAGCTTTTAAAACATTCTATATATATATTATACCTTAAACCTTTAAAGTAAAAATACGTACGATTTGCTTCTTAGGAAACAAGACAAAACGATTTTGCAGTATAGGTTAAGTGTGAACACATCTTAAATAAGTGCCTCATATGGCAATTGTACCATGTAATTTTTCTAGCTATTTAGTGATGAAGGATCTCAGAAGGCTCAAAGGATGTTGCTTTAATATGTCTATTGTCATAAAATTAATTTCAAAGACTTTCAAGTACGTTAGAACAATTTGTATAGAGTAATACACATACTGGAAATATATAAATTTATTCTGGAATGCATGTAAAATGATTAAAAAATTATAGCAACAAAATCTTCACAGAGGACTACAAAGAAAAAAAAAAAGACATTGATTAAATTTCTCACCTGCCTTATACCCAAACGGTATGCAACAATCCGATCCACTGCATCAGGATTCATTTGTGTCCACTGTAGACTGTAGGAATAAACACGATGTCTGTTCTGCCACACAGGATTGTAGGTGTCATAATAGAATTCTGGAGCATAGGCCTTTCCTGAAAACAAAAAAAGTGCTTAAATTAGAATGATGACATATTACAGTTTAAATATACTTATTACTCTCTTTGGCCCTTTTACCATTTTCTACTATAGGTTTTATAAGTCATTGTTCTATTGAAAAGTTGTATTATTAAAATCCAATCAATTTTCTGAATATGTTTTGAGAATAGATGCAAAAATATTTCCCAGTTGATAGGATGAACAGTGTGAGAAGAAAAGAATAAAAAGTGATTCTAAGCTTTTTGGTCTAAGCAGCAGGAAAAATGGAATTTCTGTCAACTGAAAGGGAAAACTATGGGAGTTTCAAATTTGGGGGAGAAGATCAGGAAGTCATTTTTAAACAATTTGAGTGATCTAAATGAAGACAGCAAGTAGGCAGTGAGAGATAACTAGTTTGGAATACAGAAGAGGTCAGGACTGAAGATATAATCTTGCTTCCCATAGACATACAGATAGAATTTAAATTTAAGCCATGATATTGATGAGATCACCAAGGAGTGTAAGTAGATACAGATGATAAAAGTCTGATCACTCACTGGGGTAATCCAATGTATAGAGTTACGGGAGGAGACATGAACTAGGCCTGATATGGAACAACAAGTAGAAGGAGAAAACCAAGAATGTGGTATCCTAGAGGTCAAAAGCCATATATTAGTAAGTAAGTGATCAACTCTTCTCAAAAAAAATTAGTGAAATTGAAAATTTGTGTTTGTATTATCTGCAGCTTTGGTCAATAAAGTTGAACTTAAAACTTAAAACAATACTTTAACAAAAGACCTGGCCAATGAAAAAAGGAGCTTTGATTTAGATTTTCAGGATATGTGAAGTGCATATAGTGTATATACATATATAAACCATCTCAGTTTTTTTCAATTGTCAAAATCAAATCTATGCAGACCATTTGGAATTATAGATCAAACTCCTCAATATTCTGTAATATAGATATTTTTCATTACCAATAGCATATTTATTTAACAGTTCGACAATATTTAGTGAAAGCCAATTCAGTGCCAAGTAGTGTACTAAGGATACAATTAGGGATATAATAACAGAGGAGGTGTGGCCTCATTCTTCATGGAAATTGATTACATTTTCTTAAATTTTGCAAATAGCTTTATAGTTCTTTCAATTCATACTGGATACATTGAAAAGTTGTATATTTATCATCACTCATTCAGCACATTTTTCTGTTTTTTCTTCTTTTAAATTATATTAAATACTCAATGTCTTTACGTGTTTTTCACTATGCAGGAAATTCTTTTACCTGCTTTTCTTATTTCTTTATCATCAGCCACTGTCATCTAAGGGTTTCAGAAAAGCTAATCCAGAAACAATTATATCAGATAATTAAAGGGTGGATTTTGAACACTTAAGAATATAAATGATGGTCTTTATTACCCTGAAGAATTTCACCAGTGATGGTAAATGAACTGAATTTAATATTTGACAGGTTTACTAGTAAAATTAAATACACTGAATTAAATATTTCAATTTTGGTAACATTTGGCAAAGTCTCCTACATCAAAACTGTATGCATTTTTAAAAATTTTCTATAAATATTCATTCAGTTAAATTGAAAATGGATTATCAAGTCTATACAAAGAATCCCTCATAAAAGGGATTTTTACAAGAGCTATCACTGTCGTTTATTTTCTGCTTTTATCTTATATGATATTTTTATTTATTACTAAATGATAGCACAAATTCATGTTCACAATACTTAAGAGCAAAGTTCAGATGAGAGGAAAACAATATACTGAATGAAAGAATAAATACTCAAAACATTCTCGACAACTTGTATTTAAAACAAAATTGCTCAAAATAAAATTGAGGAGGTGAATTTAGTAGTAAATGAGACAAAGAGCTAGGGGTTTCAATTAAAAATAAGCATCCAATACTTAGAAAAAAATAAAGGGCTGCTTAGGTGAGAAATACAAAACTAGAGTGTTTTCACTGGAGAATAATGTATCTATATTGAATTAGGGAGGTGAAAGTTTTTTGTTTGTTTGTTTAAATGGGGAGTAGGTGTTGTTTTTGTTATTTAACAAAGGAAGAAACTTAGATTTGTTCTAAGTAACATATTCTTAATAAAACAAATGATGCATTCATTCATTTAAAGAGAAACAAGGAGAGAATAAAGTCACAGCTAGGGGCTATTTAGCATGGAAAAGAAAAGGAGTATCTCTCAAAAGTGGGCAAATAGAGTTTTCTAAGAGCTGAAAATCTATCACAAAGGAAAAAAATCAGACTAAATAAACTCAGACTAAATGTTAGCAGATTTATGAAACAAGATGAATACCAGTGATTGCCTAACAAAAGTGTACCTATTTTAACTTAGAAATGATCTACTAAAGATCTCTGAATGTGGAATGCTCCACCTCAATAGACTGACTTTCCCTTCACTAGAGGTATTTACTCAATACATAAATAGGCATTTGTTAGGGTTGAGATGAGTAGCTCCCCACAAGATGACCATTAAAGTACCTTTCAGTCCTGAATCTGTAGGGTGCAGCGAAATGTTTGCCACCTGTCAAATTGGATTTGATATGTTAACTAATTTTATATAACTATAGTTTAAATATTGAAGAACCAACACTTCTAAATTATCTCATGATATTGTAGAAGTATTCCTCTTGAAAAGCCATACATTTATTATAAAGAATAATGTTTCCCCAAATTTAGTATATATAAATATGAATTTGTCTCTAAGGTAGGGCCCTGAAATCCAGATATTTTACAAATACCCTAGGATATTCTGATGCAAGGAAATGTAGACCATACATTTTGCAATTTTTTTTTTTTTTTTTTGAGAGAGAGTCTCACTGTATTGCCCAGGCTAGAGTGCCATGGCGTCCTAGCTCACAGCAACCTCAAACTCCTGGCTCAAGCGATTCTCCTGCCTCAGCCTCCCGAGTAGCTGGGACTACAGGCATGCGCCACCATGCCCGGCTAATTTTTTTCTATATATTTTTAGTTGTCCAATTAATTTCTTTCTATTTTTAGTAGAAACGGGGTCTCGCTCTTGCTCAGGCTGGTTTCGAACTCCTGAGCTCAAACAATCCGCCCGCCTCGGCCTACCAGAGAGCTAGGATTACAGGCGTGAGCCACCGCGCCCGGCCTGCAATGTTTTTAAACAGCTGAAATTTCTCTCCTAAAATTATCTTCAAGTGCATATAACAAAAGAAATCAAAATTAATTCTAAAGTTACAAGAAACATCTCTTTGATCTCCCTCCTTGAAGGATGACAGCAGCAAGACTAAGAGCGGTCAGGTAATGGGGGGTGGAGTGAAGGCGAATAGAATGGTGACAGGATAGCATAGTCTGAGCATTTCAGAAAGAAAACATCCTAGAATAGTTGACTTTCTGGACTGCCAGGCTGGTAATTGGCTGCATGACATAAATACAAATTGCCATTATGACAGTAAGATTGTTATTTAAATGAATACTTTTTAAGTTATTTAAATAGAGTGATCCAGAAGTTAAAAAACAGATCCTCTTGACCTTGTGAATAATTTGAATTTGTTTATCAAGACCTATTTTCAAGGTAGTAAAAAAATTAAGCTCCAATCTAGACCTCATTTAAATATTACAAATACATCAAATTTTACTGTAAAATTCCATCATCATCTTTATATTTAATTGGAGACTATTACAAAAGCTTTCCAACATATTTGTTTAAATATGCTTTTGCTTTTAAGATGGGATCTCGCTACAATGCCCAGCCTGAACTCAAACCCCTGGCCTCAAGTGATCCTCCCATCCCCCACTACTAAGTAGCTGGGACTACAGGTGTGCATCACCACACCCAGCCTAAAATACTTTATTTTATCTGCATTGAGTAAATCATATGTAATATTTTTTCATGGTGTGTTAGATTAGAAAATACAGTAGAGATTATTCCAATATCTCATATTACAGATGAAGAAATTAAGTACAGATTGGAGATGGTGATAACATATGGAAGATAATATAAATAAATAATCAAATACAATAAGAGTCTTTACAAGTTCAACTTTGCATCATGAAATTTAAAAAAAATGTTTTATTTTAGGTGAATAATTATACTACTTTAGAATTAAAGGTAAAAAAAGGTTTTAAGATAGTGCATAAATAGTATTGACCAGTAGTAAGTAAGTACTGATCAGAAATAATTTTTAGCAGCTGTGGTTCAATATATATATGCTTGCTTATGTCTCAGGGCATACTTTGTACTGAACCTCCCTTGGAAAAAACCTTAGAAAAGTAAAATGCTTCCTGATTTCATTTGAGAATGCATCTTAAAATTTAAAAAAATACACACTTAATTTTCTTCTCAGGTCGCAGAGCCAATCATATTTAATGTGTACACAGTCATTTGAAGAAACACACAGTAAAACAAAGGAAACATCCTTATAATAATTTTGGGCTTAGACATCCAAACATGACATCTACTGGTTGAACAGGGAAAGAATTCATAATTTCTTCCTTTTTTTTTTATACTGCAGGTATTTTCCTTCTTTTTCCAGTAAGTATATCAAATATCAAGAGAAGTTTCTTATTTTTTTGCATTCTAGTTTTATTTTTATACAGTGTTGTTTTAGTTTAAATCTTTTCAGATTAACTGATCTAAAACTATATTCATTATCTAAATTGGGAAAGCATTTTTAGATTTGTTATATATGATTATATATAAATCTTGGATTTTAAAATATTCTTAAAATTTATAGATAGAAAAAATGTGTGTTGTTCAAAATATCGCATAGATTTATACAAAAGTACAGGTGTTTTATTTTGCAAAAACCTTTTGAAAATGATCACATTGAGGTTCAAAAACAATTTTATGCATAAACCTCAAGCATAAAATAAAAATCATTACCATTACCATTAAGAACACTTAAAATGTGCTTGGCTAGATGAATTGATTTTAGTAAAGTCAATACAGTGTTTGAAATAAAAACAAAGAGAAATTGTATAATAGTGGTCAGGACCACATATGCTGCTTTTGAAAGCAATTCAC